AAACACGCTTAATTAATTTTAAATATTTTCCGCTAAGTAAAATTTATTCCCAGACACTTTTTGACTCATTGATTGAGTCGCTTGAGAGCGACCATTAAATTAGTAACGCTGTGAACGGGCTGTTACAATAAAACAAGATACAGAAATTATTATTTTCTTTAGTGCGATTCTTGACAAACTACATTAAATCATATTAGTGCTAATTTATTTTATATTAATTTTCGTGTAATTTTCCGTGTTCCTGAAATGAAGTAAACTGGTTTCAAAAATTTTCTAATGAAATCGATAATCGTAAGTCCATACATAAGACAATAGTATATCATAACAAAAATTTGAATTATGGTTGTTAAATTGGTAATGACTTTAATTACTAAGAAACTTGAAAATGTAACGTCTATTATGAAACCATAGTTTCAATAGTGAAAAATATTTTAATAGACGTAATTTACACGAGTTTCTTAATAGCAACTTAAAAATTTATATAAAGAATAATTTCTCATATTAATAAAAGAGTCTACATTAATTATTAAAAAGTTATACAGTACTCAATAAACTGTTCCAAAGTTACAATTGAAGTTAAACTGCGCATTAGCCCATATTGCTATCCCAATAATCATAACAACAATGCCGATTTTATATGACGACTTGAATTTCCATCATTTTTCTTTATCTTCATTGATATTTTTAAGGGCACAGGAAGATGGCCAATAAGTCCAGATAAATGCTTAATAAGAAAATAAATAATGACGTGATAAAAATTGGGAATAAAAAATGTGAATCTTTGCCATGCAATTCCAGTTCAAGTAGCTTTGGTATAACGAGTAAAAAAAAGTTGATGAAAAGGTAAAAAAGAGCATTCTTATGATAGCAGCTACTGAAAATTCAGATCAAGAATCATAAATATGTAAAAAAGATTGCGTACTTATCAAAAAATGTTGAAGAATGAAATGCAAACTTAATAATTATATTTCTTTAAAGTTATATTTTTGCATTTCAAATCAAATAAGAAAGCTATATTAGTTTACCGTCTTAGGATATATTTGCATTCGTACAATTTTGGTACAATGTAAAAATTTAAATCGCATATCGTTAAAATAAATCGTTGTAAATTTTCTCACTGATAATATTTAAGGGAGTGGGTTTTTCCCATATAAAAATAATTTTTATTATTTACGATAATCCAACTTTGTCTGGTTTACTTATTTAATCTTTCAATATGAAAACAGTACTTCTAAAAAGTGGACAACCATTATTTTAGATAATTTTAGATAAAAAATATGGTCTGTTCAGACGACTGTCATAATCAGTGTATTTTTAAGATGGCCTGTAGGGGCAACAGTTACGTTACTAAAAAATGTATGCATTTGGTGTGAATTGTACCTTGTTAGGTAGGCATCAAAGGGGTAATTGTAAGAGCATGAGAATTGTTATTTCAGAAAAGTGGCAAGGTGCTTTTTCTAAATAGATTTAGTCTGTTTTTTTATTTTTATCATTCATTCATTAAAGACAGTTGTGATTAATAATTGAATTACTTGTATTTAGAAAATATTATTATTTTTATGTATTTATTCGACGAACTCAAAATCTGCATATAGTACCCTTGAAGAATTATCATATTTGAATAGTATCGGGGTGCTATTTAATAGTAATTTCCAACATTTTTGAAAAGCCAATCAATGATCCTGTTATACGATCAACCTTACAATTAATACCCCCTTGTATAGTATCCCTCTTCACATAGTACCCTGGTGGTTTATCTTGAATTTCTTGTAAAAAGCTGGGGTACTATATGCTGTGTTTCACGAAAGTAGAAAGGTACAGAATTTTCTTGATTATACTTAATATGTCTAAAACACCTCGATTGAAAGTAGATTTTTAGAATATTACAATCAACATAAACTATTAACTCAACGTTGATTTAAACCTTGATAAATGTTCTTTAATATAACCGATTATTAGCATAAATCATAGATTATTGTATATAATCTATGTAATTTTACTTGGTTTCAAAATAAACATTGCATTTCAATTTTGAAATTTTTCTAAAAAATTCCATTACAATGCCAGCCATCGAAATTGTTCTCTATTTTTATTATGGCTCTAATCTTTATTTTAACTATTGCTTCGGCAAATGCGCTAAAAGGTAAAATTAAGATTTTTATTATATTTATATGAATCCCATCTTTAATATTATATATATATTATCATTAATATATGACCTTTTTTAAATTCTTCCGCAGATTCAATGTGTAGTATTGGTAATATTATATACTTTTAATATTTGTCGCTGTTTGCAAAATGGTACATCAAATTTTGCACGTATGTACTGTACGTACAATCACTTGATTGTTAAGAGAGTTCTTAAGAAAAATTCAATAAATTATGAATTTGTTATAACTATATCCTCAAAATAACGCCTATCTAGCAACAATTAGGTGATTGTACGTGTGAGCTGTGATATGCAAATTTAAAAATAGCGATAAATTCTTATATGCATCTTTTTGGATAACTGTTTATATATTAAATTTCGATTTTTTTTTAGTATTGAAAGGCGAAGAACGTCATAATGAACTTAACAATGTCCATTTTAATTGTCATTATAATGATTTTTTTAACAAAATCTATGAAGTTTCTTGTTCGCCTGAACCTTGTTGTTATACTTTTTATTCTAAGTTTCGTTGTAACGAAACTGATATAATAGGAGATGGATGCAACACAAATCGCTATGATCCTCCAATCCAATTTGCATCAATTAGTTTTACATGTGAACAGGACCAAGAACAAGAGTAAGAGAGTAAACTATACAAACGTTTTTAATTTCGTAATATGTTAGATTGACTTTTTGGCTTAAAATAGGTTGTGTTTTTCATGGATTTAAGAGCAATGCATTGATTTAATGAATGTAATAGCTTTAAATCTGTTCACGCGTAATTTATTGACAAATAAAATTTCAATTTTACAAAAATTACAAAATAATATTGAATCTGTAGTTTCAGAGAACATTAAGGTGAGAGTTTTATTAAAATTTAATGAATTCTGTAAAATAAAAGAGCCTACTAATTTTAGATCTCTCTTAACACGAACTGATTTAACGTACAATGGTCTTTATTATTATATTATTTCTTATTAATATTGCCCAAAAAAAACAAAAAAACCAGACATTACCCTTTTAAGTTTATAATTACCAAACATGTCTCTAATAACTAATTAACAACTCTATAATATGTATATAATAGAATCAATTATTATAAAACGCACCTATGGTGTTTTAGCACCATATATAATTGTTTTTAATAAAATTTAGGGTTAGGGTTCG